GAGACCCCTGGAATGATAGGCTGGTATAACTAGAAGCAACAACATACCCCTAGGAATCCCCCTTTTTTTTTTTAAGGAATAAAAAATTATTAGGTGATTTGAAACCACTATTCAAAAATGCCTTAACGTAATATTGACTATAAACCTGGATTTGTTTATAAACATTTGGGATGGTGCTATTTCACTGTTAATAGAAGCCAGCTGCTCTATACCTAATATACTAGTTGTTCAAGTCAACGGAGGGAAGACAGTATTCTTTAACACATTAAGCGCCCTGTCAGTCACTCGTGACTGACAATATTCTTTCTGTCTGGAAGACAAAACAGGCTGGGCTCTTAACACGTTAAGAGGGAGAAGTGTGGTCCAGTGAAAACATTAAGACTTTGTTTTTACACCTGGAATTGAAGTTTGATCTTAATCATAAGTTCTATTGTGCAGGTTTATTTTATTGAAGATTTTTCATAATGTTAAATTTACATGCCCCAAAGTATCTTCAATTTTTACTCTCAAAAGTACAATTGAGCCCTAACCGGTTTGGCTCAGTGGAAAGAGCATCGGCCTACGGACTGAAGGGTCCCAGGTTCGATTCCAGTCAAGGGCATGTACCTTGGTTGTGGGCACATCCCCAGTAGGGGGTGTGCAGGAGGCAGCTGATTGATGTTTCTCTCTCATCGATGTTTCTAACTCTCCATTTCTCTCCCTTGCTCTCTGTAAAAAAATCAATAAAATATATATATTTTTTAAAAAGTACAATTGATTTGGCTTGTATCTATTGAGAAATAAGATTCTAAAGGAGGCAAAAAGAGCTTGAAAGATTTTTTTTTTGAGCCCTAATAGCTTTCAGCCTTCAAGCAACATTGGCCAAAGTTGTAAAATGCAAGCAGAGGGGAAGAAAGAAAAATGTATGTCAGGTAATGAAATAAGTAAATAATCAAATTGACCTTAGGGTGCAATCAATCCTATAAGACACCTCCTTCAAGATAGAAATGTGTGGGTTAAAGTAATATTATCTTGTATTCCAAGTACTCATGCAGGTACCTTTTTTTCATTTTCAACCCTTCCAGCTCTCCAAGCCAAGTAGCAAAACATAATTTTGTCAACATCATTTGTCATCCCATAGGTGAACATTTGTGAAGTGAACCCATTCAATTACACAAATAGGTACAGCACAGTAATCACAGGAGTAACTTAGTAAACAAAGCATTAGCATTATAATAGCTTTTAACGCACTGCGGACTATTCTCAGCCTTTTTGTAAAATAATTGACTCTGGATCACTGTAAAACATATATTTGTTTCTTACAGGTTCGAACAAGATCAGTTGGTGAATGTGTAGCATTCTATTATATGTGGAAAAAATCTGAACGTTATGATTTCTTTGCTCAGCAAACACGATTTGGAAAAAAGAAATACAATCTTCATCCTGGTGTAACGTGAGTGTCTTTTCTTTCGTGTTGTGTTTTTACTAAGCTTTTCTATTTGCTTTGTTGGGGTGGGAGTTGTGTGTTTCTTTTTAATTTATTAACTTGAGAGAGAGAGAAACATCAATTTGTTGTTTATTTTTGCATTCATTGGTTGATTCTTGTGTATGCCCCTGCCTGGGAATTGAACCCGAAACCTTGGCATATCAGGACGATGCTCTAACCAACTGAGCTACTTAGCCAGAGTTTTACTAAGCTTTTCTAAATTTTTCTTGAGGAAATTGTAATTGTTTAATAATACTTTAGTTTCAATTTATCCATTATTGACATATCTATAGGACATTTGGACTTTTCAGTGTCTTAGAAAACATTGCAAACTACAGTTCATATTATTTGAGCTAACAAATATATCAAAGCAAATGTTAGAGTGTATGTTTCAGTAGGATTCCTTAAAGTAAGTGGATCAGAACAGCTGTGAAAGCATGTTTTTATTTAATTCTATTTCATTCAGTATAAGAATTTATAGTTTTAATGTAATAACTCTGTGAGAGCAGTAAGAATAGAAAAGACTTATCTTTTCTAAAAAACACAGGGTCATATGCCTAATAGAGGCACTTTAAAGAGGAAGGGAAATTAATATTTTTTCTGTCTAATCTATTTTTGATCCAGGTAACCAAAACTCTATGCAAAATGCCTTATATGTCTGGTCTAGTCCCCGTGCACCAAATTCTCTTAGCCCTCAGTCAGTCTAGCTCTGGAATGAAGCACTGTCCCCATTGCCACTAGTAATTTGTTATTTAAGTGCATAAAGCAGCGACATTCAACCTTTTCCATCTCATGGCACATATCAACTAACTAGAGGCCTGGTGCACAAATTTGTGCACCGGTGGGGTCCGGCCGGCCAGCTCCCATGGGGGCCAATCTGGCAGGCAGGTGGGAGGGACCAGGGCGGTTGGCTAGCCGGCCCTGCCCCCTATCAGGGGGGTGAAGGGGGCTGATTTGGGGCCGGGCTGGCCGGGGGGAGGGCGGCCACAGTGCATGTCATAGCGACCGGTTGTTCTGGTTGATTGGCTTTTATGTATATATAGATTACTGAAATTGTTGCTGATCTGACAAAAAAAATTAGGTATAATTTTGATTCATTCATACCAACGGCTATTGTTGTGTTGGCTGTTGTCATTTTTTAATTTGACAATCTAAGGGAAGAGAGGTCAATGCCCCTGACTATCAATAGTTAGGTATTACATGTTTTAACATTTTTGCGGCACACTAGTTGAAAATGGCTGACATAGAGTAGAGAACCTATCCTCTCACAAGAGTTGCTCTAAAATGTTAATGAATTGTTACAGTGGACTTAACTTGATCATACTATGCCTGATTATTCCCTAATGTGTATGGAATAAGAATAATGTAAAATGTGACTTCATTTGGTCAGTGTTCACTAGTAAAGTTCTTAAGCTGGCCAAATAACTGCCTTTGAAAGATGTGCTTGTATACATATTTGTGCTTTAGAAATTTGTTGGCTAGACTATTTCTGAGTGATGTTTATTTATAGGTCTCTCTGCTGGTCATTTTGCTGGAGGATCAAACACTCTAAAGTCAAAAGCAAAATTATCTAAAAGCGAATAAATGGTTATGATTGCCCTTGCAAATCATGGGTACATTGGATTCTGTGCCTCATCCCTCATTAAAGCTCATGATAGCTAGAGTAGAATTTCATAATAGTATTCCAGGTTTTGTCTAATTGTCTAATGTTATACATTTATAAATTTTTTCTGGATTATATGATGAATTGGTATTGTTGAGGCATAATTATGTAGAACTAGATTTAGCTGTCTAGTTTACAGAATGTACCATTTTAGTCACAATTTTCAAGCTATTCTATAGGTTTAAGCAGTGGTAACATTTCATTTTTTTTAATACCCATTTCAGAAATAATATTTACACATGAACTACAGGCAGTCTGTCATGATCAGCATAAGAACATAAGAATTGTCATGTTGGTTCAGACCCATGGTTCATCCAGTTTTCTTTTTCATAGAGCATCACCAAGGGTGGTGCTGTGGGCTGGCTTTGTTGGTCCTCTTTGTTGTCAGGCTTCACAGGTTAGGTAGGGATGTGCTGCCAAACATTTTAGTTTCTCTAATAATTTCTCCGTAGCTTCTGTAAACATTTTGAAGATACCTATGTCTGTAACCTTGTTTCCTGTTAAGGTTAACTTATTCTGTAGGTGGAATAGCCACAGTTAAGGGTAATCCTACATTTTCTCTTTCTCAGGCTTCAAGAGTTAACAGTGGTCCTCTGGTGTATTGGTATGAAGTGAACAAATGTGCTTGCCCCACTAGGCAAGATACGGTTTTATAGTCTTTGATTATGTTCCCTTTGGATCTTTCATAAAGTTTTTTTTTTTTAGCTGAACTGTAATTTTAAACCAGACTGTGCATTATTTTCCAGATGGGGAGAAATTGTGGTTTTCTGTAAGCATGGAGATATTTTTCCAGTTTGCTTCCAAACTTATTTTTCCAGTTTGCTTTTTATTAGTAGTTGCACATAACATTAAGTTAATGCCTTTAGCCAAAATTGCATTTTTCATCTTTATTTTTAGTCAAAATCATAGAGTACATTTTCCTGAAAGTTATTTGTTCATTTTTCTGTTGCATTGTTATCTGGCATTTGTTCACCAGAATGAGCTACATTCTTTGCCTATAAATAGCCTTTGAAAAATTCTAATACAGATTCTTTCTTCACTTCCTGGAAGAATTGGTAGCTATATGCAAATTGGAGATTTGGCTGTAACCACCTTGCATTTAATCTTTTTTTTAAGTAAAAATTGCCCTGGCTGGTTTGGCTCAGTGGATAGAGCGTCGGCCTGTGGACTGATGGGTCCCAAGTTCGATTCTGGTCAAGGGCACATGCCCAAGTTGTGGGCTCCATCCCCAGTAGAGGGCGTGCAGGAGGCAGCCTATCAATGATTCTTTCTCTTCCTCTCTGAAACCAGTCCTATATAATAAAAGCCTAATATGCTAAGTGTCCAGTCATCCGGTCGTTCGTTCAAACAATCAAAGAATAATATACTAATGATGTGCTAAGGCCGCTCAACTGCTCACTATGACATGCATGGACCACCAGGGGGCAGATGGTCGACCAGTCACTATGATGTGCACTGACCACCAGGGAGCAGATGCTCCAACTGATAGGTTAGCTTGCTGTTAGAGTCTGGCCGATTGAGACTGAGTGAGACAGGCTGGACACACCCTGGAGCCTTCCCATGGTCCCTCCTTGGTTGGCCAACCTCCCACATCCCTCCCCAGTACCGATTGTGCACCAGTGGGGTCCCTCAGCCTTGCCTGCGCCCTCTTGCAATCCGGGACCCCTTGGGGGATGTTGGAGAGCTGGTTTCAGCCCAATCCTGCAGGCCAGGCCAAGGGACCCCATTGGTGCACGAATTCATGCACTGGGCCTCTAATAAAAATATATTAAAAAGAAAGAAAGAAAAAATTAACTCAGCCAACTTTGGTTATCTGAATGCTATTCTACTCTCCTGGGTGGTCTACCTGACTCCTCCTCTTCCTTAAGCATTCTGGATGCCATTAATCATTAAGAAATAATAATAATAATTCTTTCACAATGTCATTGATGTATTCAGAAATTTAAAGTAACTTTGATGTCTAGTCAATTCTAGTTTACTTTGCTTGGCTTTTAGCATCCTCCATTATCCATTCCCACCATACCAAATTTATTTACAGCAATTCTTCATCATGCATCTTCTGTTCCTATTAGCCTTAGCTTCTGAATTCCCTTTAGCATTCATCATGCTCATTTCTGTTTCTCTGTGCTTCAGCTTTGTTACATAATTGTAACAAAGTTAAGATAAATGGCATGAAGCCGAAAGGTCATAAAGACCATTAAATTTAACTCCTTTCATTTATAGATGAGGTAAATAGGCCTAGAATGTTAAATTGATTAGCTTGTTATCTTGTATGTTTCTTTGATATGTGTTAATTTTGTACCTCAGATTGTTGGAAGCTTCTTGAGCTCAGGTACCACATCCTTATATTTATTATATCCCATAACCCAGGGGCCAATGTGATCATGAAGTTTGAGATTATAGCTATAGTTGATTGTCTTTTTATGGACTTTTAACATAGACTTTGAGCCTTCCCACTGTTTTCTTATCCACATTTTTATCCACATTCTTTGTCCTGCTCACAAAATTGTAAAACATTTGACTGAATATTTCCAGTATACTTATTCTGAGGGAATTTTAAAATATGTATTTTTGTTTTTATTAAGCTTCTACCTGTGCCATGCACAACTTAGGCACCAAAAGTGCACTGGTAAACAAAACAGACTAAAGTCCCTGCCTTCATGGAGTTTTTCCAGTGCTGGTGTTGGCAGGCTTTTCCTATATGTGTCTTATACAATAACTCTATATGGTAGATAGGTCATGTATGATTATATGCCTTTGACAGATAAGAGCACTCTACCTCAGAGAGATAGTGAGCCCGGGTCTAACCCAAACTAATGTCATGTACACAACTATCTTCCATGCCGTAACATTCAGGAATGACTTAGGGAAGAAGTGAACTCGCATTTAATGACGTAGTGGCAGGTAAAGCCAGTAGATAAGCCCAGAAATTCAGTGAGCTTATAGCTCATATCTAGCAGAAAGGTAATATAGAAGGTATCCAGGAAGATTTAGGAAGGTGACTCATTGCTAGGACCCAATTTGTCTTTGAGATGTTTGCCATCGTCATCAAATAGACTTCAGGAGCTTTAAAATTCCAATGTTGCTCAGAAATTCTTCTGTTCTCCTTCTGGTTGACATCATCCCTATCTCTTCACTTTTAGATCCTCTGGTTTTAGTTGGACCACTCTGAGCACTTGCCTACAATTTTAAAAGTTTTAAAGCTGCCTATAGGTCTCTAAAATTAGCTAGTTTAAGGCTCTTACACATTTTTCCTACAAACATGTAACCAAAAGAAGCTTTCCGTCTACATGTTCAGATCCTGGTGTGATAGGTAAGGCGCT